GGTTTCTCGGTTCGGACTCGGGGTTTATCTTCGGGGACGAAATTTCCTCTCTAACCGCAATTCGGTCCTCAAAGATGTAAATATGAAGATTTTTTCTTGGAATGTTAGGGGTTTGAATAATAATGATCGGCAGTTTGCTATTAGAAATTGGTTGAATAAATTGGGGTCTTCAGTAGGTGCATTTCTTGAGACTCATGTGGCAGAGGAAAACTCTGCTGCAATTATGTCAAATATTTTTCGAGATTGGAGAGTTGATAGTAACTACTCAGAGGTCGCAAGAGGGAGAATTTGGGTTGTTTGGGAGCAGTCTCTATCTGTTTTGGTTTATAAGAAGTCTGAGCAGATGGTTGTGTGTGGTGTTTTCGATCCGGCCACGCAGGTTTCGTTGACCGTGGGTTTCGTTTATGCTTTCAATTCTGAAGGTCTGAGGAAACAATTGTGGGATGAGATTGTCAGCATTTCAAGACATCACTTGGTTAAGAATAACCCTTTTATCATTTTGGGTGATTTTAATCAGATTCTCAATGCTTCAGAACATTTCTCGATCCTTCCGTACGAGTTGCCAGTTAGAGGAATGGATGAGCTCAGAGATTGCTTAGTCAGAAGTGAGTTGGAAGACCTGGAAATTAGAGGAGTTTTCTTTTCTTGGTCAAATAAAAGACCTGAAGATCCGATTCTTCGCAAGTTGGATAGGGTATTGCTAATGATGCCTGGAGGGAACGATTTCCAGATGTTTTTGCTCAGTTTGAGGCTCCTGGCGATTCTGACCACTCTCCGTGTGTGGTTGATCTGCTTACGGTGACTGATTCTCGGAAAGTCAGCTTCAAATATTTTTCCTTCTTGGCCTCTCACCCGCAGTTCCTGGATCAGATTTCAGAAGCTTGGCGAAAGGAGATTGCAGTGGGCTCAGAGATGTTTTCTTTGGGGCAGCGTTTGAAGGCAGTTAAGCAAGCGTGTAGGAGGCTCAAAAGAATTGGGTTTGGTAACATTCAACATAAGACTAAGCTGGCAATGGAGGAGCTTCAAGAGATTCAAAGCGAGATGTTGGTTTCCCCCACGGAAACTCTTTTTAGGAGAGAATTTGTGGCTCGGAAAAAATGGAAGTTTCTTGATTCTGCCTTGCAGGTTTTCTTCAGGACTAAATCTAGGATTCGTTGGCTGAAGGAGGAAGATGCAAATACAAAGTTCTTTTTTAAGGCTGTGCTGGCTCATCAAGCAAGGAATGCTATCAGATTTCTCATCGATGATTCAGAAACTAAGGTCACAAACATGGCTCAGATTAAGGATATGGTGGTGTCTTATTTTCATCATCTGTTGGGCACGCAGTCTCCTGATATTTCCCCGCCGTCTGTGAGTGAACTTCAGAATTTGATGCGTTATCGATGTCCGGTCTCTTTGGGAGAAACTCTTTGCGCTTTGCCTTCTGCTGATGATATAAGATCCACGTTGATGACTATGCCAAAGAGTAAGGCTCCGGGTCCAGATGGTTTTTCTGTGGAATTCTTTTGGGACGCGTGGGCTGTGGTGGGAAATGATGTTATTGCTGCAGTCAAAGAGTTCTTTGTTGGTGGTAGAATGCTGAAGAAGTTCAACGCCACTGCTATTTCATTGATTCCCAAGATTACTGGAGCTGATAGGCTTAGTCTTTTCAGACCTATTTCTCTTTGCTCAACGGTTTACAAGGTGATCACAAGACTTATGAAGAAAAAGATCTCTCTCTTCATCGACGAAGTGGTTCAGCGTAACCAAGTGGGGTTTTTTGCAGGGGAGACTTCTTTGTGAAAATGTTCTTTTGGCGTCTGAACTCGTGTCTGGCTTCCATGAGGTAGGTCGGGTCTCTCGGGGATGTTTGAAGATTGATCTTTCTAAAGCTTATGACAACATTAGTTGGGATTTTATTCTTAATCTGCTTCAAGCAATCGATCTCCCGGAGAAGCTTATAGGCTGGATCAGAGAGTGTTTTACAACAACTTCGTTTAGTGTGGTGACTATTGGTGAATTGCATGGATATTTTAAAGGGAAGAAGGGGCTTAGGCAAGGTGATCCAATCTCCTCCCTGCTCTTTGTCTTAGCTATGGATGTCTTATCTAAGATGCTGGACCAAGGTGCAATCAATAATCGGTTTAAACCGCATCCATCTTGTGAGGCTCCTTTAATAATTCATTTGAGTTTCGCAGATGACGTGTTGGTTTTTTTCGATGGTTCAGAAGAGTCTCTCCGGGGTATTCTGGAAATCCTAGACGAGTTTAAGCATCTGTCAGGGTTGAGCATCAATAGAGAAAAGACTGAGTTGATGATTGATGGTGGAAGTCACTCCCTTTGTCAGGACCTGGCTGAATCTTTAGGAATTAAGCAAGGAGCGCTCCCTGTCAGATATCTTGGGGTTCCGCTTTCTGCTAAGAAAATGAGGAAGTCTGATTTTAAACCGTTGTTAGACAAGATTGAAGCCCGCTTTAACTCGTGGACAGTAAAGCATCTTTCATTTGCAGGGAGGTTCCAACTGATTCAGGCTGTGATTTACTCCACTATCACCTTTTGGACCTCAATCTTCATTCTTCCCAACGAATGCATAAGGATCCTGGAGAGGATGTGTAATGCTTTTTTGTGGAATGGAGCTCCCCTCTCTGCTAAGGGTGCGAAGATTAACTGGGATACGGTCTGCACGCCTTTAGAGGAAGGGGGTTTGGGTCTGAAGAGGTTGGGAGAGTGGAATCAAATCTTAGCTCTAAAGTTAATTTGGCTCCTATTTGCAGCTGGAGGATCATTATGGGTTTCGTGGATGAGACTTCATAAGTTAGGCTCGGACAATTTTTGGGAATTGGAACCCCGCCGTGGAGATAGCTGGATTTGGAAGAAGCTGTGTAAGTTAAGAGCTATAGCTAGACCCTTTATTGTTTGTGAAGTTGGGTCTGGGATTACTGCCAGATTCTGGGACGATAATTGGACGGGTCTGGGTCCTTTGATTCATTTAACCGGCGAGAGAGGACCTGCAGTCTCGGGATTGCATAGAGAAGCTAATGTGGCTGATGCAATTGTTAACGGACAGTGGTGGCTGAGTTCTTCTCGGAGTAGAAACTCTACTATCACACTCCTCCAGCAATGTCTTCCGCCTTCTGGCCCTATTGCATTGTCATCTTTGGATGATACTTACCTGTGGAGAGTGGGAAATGATTCCCCTTCAACTTCTTTTTCTACGGCCAAGACGTGGATTTCTCTTCATCCTCCGAACGCTTCGGTGTTTTGGCATTCGCAGATTTGGTTTAAGGGTAGAGTTCCTAAGCATGCTTTCATTGCTTGGCTGGTGGCTTGGAACAGGCTAGCAACAAGGGACAGGCTGAGGGAGTGGGGTTTAGAGGTTCCAGCGACTTGCTTGCTGTGTGCCGGAGCTGATGAGTGTAGACAGCATTTGTTCTTTGATTGTGAGTACAGCTCTGAGATATGGCTGTATTTCTGTTCGCAGCTGAATCTCTCTTCGCCTGTGTTATTTGAAGATTGCTTAAGATGGCTTAAGATGCTTCACTCTGATGCTAATACTTTGCTCATCATTAAGCTCATTTTCGAAGCGGTTATTTACATTATTTGGAGGGAAAGAAACTCCAGGTTACATAACAATATGTGTAGACCAGCACAAGCTCTCATTCAAGAGGTCAAGAATACTATCAGATTGAGATTGGACCCTTTATCTCGAAGCATGCGACTCTCAAATACTTCATCTTCTACCTATCTTGGTTTTTGGCTAAATCTCTTTTAAGGGCATTGTTTAAGTCTATGGTATAGTTTCTCTTTTAGGTTCTTGCTAGTAAAGGTAGGTGTTGCAGGTTGTAATACTTTCTTTTCGAAATAAAATGGAAATTAAAAAAAAAAAAAAAAAAAGAAAAAAAATTAAACCTTGGAAAAATTAGTATACCGTCTTTCATACGAAATAGAATTACTGATTGAGTGAGTGGGCATGAAAAATTCAGTAACCGTAAACTCGTAACCGATCGGGATGTTATTAAATTTTTTTGTAGATATTAACCGTAAAAGATCGGGACATTATTAAGAAAATTTTAGATGTCATTTATCTAATATAAATATCATATGAAAAACATATTTTGAACCATTTCAGGGTTGTTTAAAGGAAGGTGTTATAATATGTCATATCAATAGATACCATTTTTTCATTTCTTGCAATCTAGCTGTTTACCTAATTAACTCTTATTGTGTTGGATTAATCATGTTGTAACTTGTAAGTAGAAAAAACATGTCAAATTTACATAAATTGAATATGTATGCTCATAACATGAAGGCCACGATTTAGAGTAGATAGAAAAGGAAAACGTGAGGGGGAAAAAGGAAAATAAAAGAGAAGATGTGTTGAAACTTGAAACCTGAGCTGTGATTCTCCTGGTATCAAGTATAACCTCCCTTTTTACGTATAGTTCTATATTTAGACACAATCTTTTACTTTCCAATCTTTTTTCCCCACAGACAAAAAAACAAGGAAGAAGAAGAAGATTCATTTCCATTACTTGTTTGGTCAAATAATCTCTTCTCTTCTCTCTCTCTCTCTATAATCCTCACGCCGCGCATTTATTTCGTTCCCTCCATAAAAATCACAATCCATCCTTCCGTTACAAGTTTGATTTCCCTTTTTGGATTTTCATGTTTGAATTTTCATTAAATTAAAATAAAAAAGGAAAAACAATTCCCCAGGAGAGGAGCATTGATTGATTTTGCTGGAGGAGGTATATCGTTACTAGATTCCTGAACCTAAGCCGTTTGATTCAGATGCTTTTTTCAATTCGCATATAGAGCTGGAACCTTGAATTATTCCTACATATATACTCGTTCGATTTCAACTCAATTGGAAAACTAGGGTTTAGTTTTCAAAAATCACCCAAGGAGGAGTGGTTTATGAGGATCGTTAGATTCTTCACTTGAAATTTTTTGTCAAGTTTTTAGAAATTGCGTTTCATCATTTATATTTTTCTTTCCTTTTGAAGGTATGCTAGTTATTGATGGTGTCTGAGAGGTGTTGTGTGGAGCCGATTTTTGATAGGGATATGAAGGTAGACGTGTTGGCTATTCATGGGGGAAACGGTGATACAGATGATCTTTTAAGATACCCTAAGAAGATGGATGTGGAAGATGAATGTAAAAGTGAGGTCTTTAGGGATGGAGATGAGCACAATACTTTGGACATGATTCATAAAGTGAATACATCTTGCGTTGAGAGTAGAGAAGAAGTTGGTACCCCGAGGAGTGAAAATGGTCAAGGAAATGTTGTGGTGGAAAGAGAAACGAAGGATGGACATGAGTCTTTGGTAAGGGTAAATAGGGATGCGGTGTTAGAGAGAGATGCTGGAGAATCTAGTTCAGGTTCACCTGACTCAAATATTCTTGGTATAGAGATTAAAGAACTTGATACACAAGTGGCAAATGGTCATCTGAAGGTGGAGGATACAGGGAGGGATGAGAACAGGGTGTTGGAAAAGGACGCTGAAAACAATTTGGGTGTGATGCTGAGGGCAAAAGATGATGAACCGCAGAGTCTAAGATCTGAGACACAAACTGATGACAAAACTGTTAGAAATATGGAAAAGAGCCAAGTTACACGAGAGCAAGACTCTCCCTCGTGTGTTCCGGATGCAGTTAAAGCAGCTGGAGAGACATTTCAAAACGTATACTTTAATGGACCGGTCTTACCACAGTCGCCATCACTAGGACATAAGCACGTCCAAAGTGAGATAGAGACTCCAGGACACAGGCGCACAAATAGTTTCCAGAGACTGAAAACTCAGATGCATAAAGCTTGGCGTGGGGTCAGCAATCTACGTGAGGATAATCGTCCAACTTTCAATCCTGAGGTCTTGGCAAATCAAAAACGACAGTGGTACCAGCTCCACTCTTCAAAAGATCTGGTATTTAATCTCTCTAGGGTGTACCTTTCAAACAAAGTCTTGGCTACAAGTTCCTCTTCCCCGTAATCATCTAAAACGTCTGCTCATAGCTGACTAATGTTTTAATATGATAAACGCTCTAGGACCAAACTAAGGAACCAATCTCACTCTTTGAACATTTTATCATTGTGGGGCTTCATCCGGAAACTGAGTTGAAGCCAGTTGAGGAGGCCTTCCGTAGAAGGAAGAAATGGGAGATGGAGATGTCAAGGTATGAAGTGGCTGACTACAGAATACTCCGTCACCGTGGGCCTCAGTTTCCAGTATTGGAGCCACAGGTTTGTGTTTACTCTTTGAGTTCTCATAGTTTTGGGCATGCTTATATTTTTAACATGAGACACCTGAAGTGATTGTTATTGGCTCATTGTCTACTTTGTTTGCCACTCTTTTATTTCCTATCTAATACATTCTCGCTTGCGGCTACTATTATATAGATTCCCCTGTTCTGCTCCATGGCAGATTTAGTTGGTTTATTTCTTTTCTATATCAACTTTTATTTTATGCGCAGATACTTTTTAAATACCCTCCTGGGAAGAAGGTGGCAATGCGCCCAAAAGATCTAGCAACTTTCTGCTTCCCTGGTGGTGTCAAGGTATGATACGTATGCTCCGTGTCTCTTTATATTTACTTAATGACCGTCAATGTGCGTTGGTATATTAATAGTTATGAGCCATATCAGTTAGTTAGAAATTTTACCCAGAATTGATTCATACTGCTGGTAACAATATACGTGGTGTTAGATGGCATCATTATTCTGTGATTTATGAAGTAACTAAGACTGTTAACGTGACTTTCGTAACAGGCACGACTTTTGGAGAGGACCCCATCTCTCAGTGATCTAAATGAGCTTGTGTATGGACAGGTCCGAAAATAATTCTAAATATTTGTCTGAGCTTCTGTAATTCATCTATATTATTTGAATATATCATGATACTTTTAAGTTTATTGCAGGAACATTTAGGAAAAGATGATTCATCGTTCATATTTTCGTTCAAGGTAATCTATCTCTGTTCATGCCCCCTTGACTGCTTTAGTGTCAGACATCCACTAGCCATGTAAAAACTTGCACGAGGCTCTCAAAATTCTCGTTTTCAGGTAGCAGATGACGCGACATTGTACGGTGTTTGTTTACATGTCTCGGAGATTGTTCAGAGACCTCCTGGTGTTTTAAGCACAGCGTCACCCTTGCATTCATCTGGAGGAGGCAGTCGTTTTTTGGTTTCTGCACCTCGATGCTATTGCTTGCTTACCAGAGTTCCTTTTTTTGAGCTACACTTTGAGATGTTAAACAGGTACAAAAGATGCCCCTACTCTTATTAGTGGCTTTTCCTTGCATTGACTAGAGATCGACGAACTTGAAAACTGATGGTGTTTTACTTGTTGATGCAGCATGATTGCACAGGAGCGCCTAAAACGGATAACCGATTTTGTTAGTGAGATGTCTCTGGCTGCGGCATGCCATAGCCCATCAGTTTCGAGATTTAATGGCTGTGTTTCTTCACCTCGTAGCAACCCTGATAATTGGATGGCTTCTGCGATACCTGTGGATGGAGTCATGGCACTCACGGCCGCTGCTGCTGGATTGATATCTGATAGTGACATTGAGAACTTTGCAGAACCGCAATCTCCAGATAGTGTCGTCACCAGTGATACTTCAGAGGTAAGTCATATCAAGGAAATAGAAAGAGATGGGAGAAAAGTTTTTCACTGCTACGAGGACAGTTCTTCTGAAGTATCTGAGAACCACTTGGATACCCCCGAAAGAAGGTTTCAAAGCTTTGAGAACGGCCATGTTTCTCCGGAGATTACATGTACCGATCCTAGGACCCAACCGATAGAGCATATTGAAAGCTGTGAGTCCGTGTTCAGGTAAGTTAACACAATTGATCTAACCTCTGCTTATCTCCCGGAATTTATGTTTTTTTGAAGTAGTGTTATGATTCAGTTCGTTACCAGTATAATTTCAGATTTTACCTTTTTTATATATGGCAGTTCAGCTAAAAGTGTGTTGTCAGATGAGGTTGATGATATATCGAACAGCGAAAATGATTTTGAAGATGACTTAGTTCTGGAATGGGCTAAGGTAAGGAGATCATTACTAGGTTAACCATTTAGTTGCTCTATATTATTTCAATGTTCATTGTTCTCATATACTGTTATATGGTTATCTCACCTTGATAGGAACATAACAATGATGCGTTACAATTAATCTGCGGCTACCATTCATTGGCAATTCCTTCCCGTGGAAGTGAAGTAGTTTTCCAGCCGCTGGAGCATTTGCAATCTATCCAGTATACACGGCCACCTGTTTCAGCTCTTGGATTGTCAGAAGAATATATCTGCTCTTCTGATTCTTCCGGGGTATACTTTTTTCTCGGAAATTAATCTTTTCTAGTCTTTTTTGTAGTCTCATCTCAGGCAACTTTTGTATTATTCTTTGTGGAAGATAAATGCGAGGTTGGCAGCTGCTGAAGAGGCTATGGGTCTCTCAATGTGGACAACGGCAACAGTTTGCCGTATTCTCTCTCTTGAAACTGTACGGCCTCTTCACATCATTCTTTCTTATCTTTTGATCTTGTTAGAATCCTACTATCTTTGCNTTTGTAGTCTCATCTCAGGCAACTTTTGTATTATTCTTTGTGGAAGATAAATGCGAGGTTGGCAGCTGCTGAAGAGGCTATGGGTCTCTCAATGTGGACAACGGCAACAGTTTGCCGTATTCTCTCTCTTGAAACTGTACGGCCTCTTCACATCATTCTTTCTTATCTTTTGATCTTGTTAGAATCCTACTATCTTTGCGCTGAATGCAGTTTCCATCTATTCTTTGTGCCTTGAGTTAACAAAGTATTTTCTTTCTTCCAGATTTTGTCACTCGTTTCTGGAGTTTTATTAGAGAAGCAAATTGTGGTAATCTGCCCAAATCTGGTTAGTTAAATCTGTCCTTCGATCGTTTATCCATTGAGGAGATTTAAATGAAAATTTGTAGGTTGAACTAACCAATGACTAATGCAGGGTGTTTTGTCAGCAATAGTACTGTCTCTTGTCCCAATGATTCGGCCGTTTCAGTGGCAGAGTTTATTGCTTCCGGTAAGTTTCACATCACTAGAAAAATCGACCACATCAAAATGGGAACTTTCAGTGTCGTCACCTTTCTTTCTCTGTCGTCTTCAGGTTTTGCCCGGAAGGATGTCTGATTTCCTCGAGGCACCCGTTCCTTTCCTTGTAAGTAACTCGTGGTGTGTCTTTAATAGCTAGCTAGCTAGATGATAACTTATTCTGAGGATTTGAATGTTCATCAGTCTAGTGGATGCTGTTTGGATCGTAAATCCATGAGCTATATATGTTTTGTTGTTGGTCACACAGTCTCAAATTTACACCACCTGTCAGGTCGGAATACACAATAAACCTACTGATTGGAAGGTCAAGACGTCTAATCTTGTTTTAGTTAACATCCTCGGCAATCAGGTTTGGCGGCCTTCTTATGAAAGTCTCTTATAGTTATTTCCTTTTGTCTGTGAAGTATCCAAAATCAGTAAAATTGACAACTATCAAAGGCATTTTAACTTTAACTCTGTTTTCTCCAGGTGAAAATATGTAACATGCCAGCATTGCCTCAGCGTAGAGAACTTATGGCTCAGTTGACTCCAATCCATGCCATACTGGCTCATCATAGCTCGACTGCTAGAAAGCACCCGGTTTATAAATGCAATGAAGTACAAGTAAGTAGTAACCAATGAATGGGCCTATACTTGTATTACTTGAACCAGATTTCATATGACGGAAATGTACTTCCCAGGCAGAAGCTGCGACTAAATTCTTGAGAGTAATGAGAGATTACATGGAGTCTCTTTGTTCAGATTTACACTCTCACACCATAACAAGTGTTCAATCAAATAGCGACAGGGTACTAGCGACTCTCCTCAAAGCGTAACATGAACTATTTCCACTCCTATCTCTCAATAACTAATACATACATCTTTATTTCTCAGGTTTCTCTACTTTTAAAGGACAGTTTTATAGATTCATTTCCTGGTAGAGACCGACCCTTCATTAAGGTACAAAATCCCAATCCTGATCTTGGACATTGGAATCCTAATCCTCATATTGGCTGTTGTTCTGATTTTTTTTGTAGTTATTAGTAGACACACAAATGTTTAGCGTTCTATCTGACTCACGGTTATCGAGCTTTGAGAACGGACGTCTTTAGAGCTTCATTTTGCCATCAACCTATACAAAATACAAACTGAAGAAACAAACCAAAGTCAAACTTATATGAAGAAGCAAAAGAGGGTACCTTTTACTACCCTTTACACTCACAAGACTTCACAGGTGATACTTTTATATCATTAACAAACTATACTTGTTTGAAAGCTTGCTTCTTGCTCTTTGTAAATTATGACCGCTCGATAGGAGATTTTGTTTGTTGAAGTTGTACAGAACACTTGAAACCCTTTTACTTATTTCAAGTGCTTGATTTTGATATGTTAAACAGTTCTCACAAGAGAAAAATACGGACATGTTGCTATGGTTTGGATTATTTAGATGCTACAAATTTGATTCAGTTGTGTGTTGTCTATAAAAAAATCTGAATGCAAATAACCTAAACTTCAAACGCGATTCTGCAGCTCCGTAAACAACTGATTTTGAGATCAAAACGCACCTAAAATGCAATTCCGGCATAAAATAACTAAGTTGTTTCGGTTTTTCCAATGTGCCATGATTACATGTTATCTTCTCTTTTTTGGCAAAAATGATCATTATACAGATACAAAAAAAGGGTCGTTGAGTAAAGTGAAGTATCTTGGAACATTCTTTTAAGTTATTTTTTTGACGTCACTTCTTCATCATCCTATTTAGCAAAGATGGTCTCAGGCTGGGTCTGAGGGTAAGCAGGTGCAATAAATTTAGAATCTTTCACAGCAACCTCTGTGTATTTTAATATCGCTTCTCCTGGATCTTCCTCCATCCACGTCTCTTTTATCATGCCACCTTGCTGCAAACACACACGCGAGAAAGAATTTCAATATCTTACCATCACTCATAACCGACTCGAAGAAGATACTGAAGAGCCTTACCTTGAAAAGATACTGTGTAAATAAGCTGCTACTAGTGGTTCCAACTTTTCCACCATGCAGGGCTGGCTGAATCAAATCATAGGTCCTAAGGGCAATTTTTAAAATAGGCCCTTAACTCTTACAATATTGTTTATTCTTAGCAGAATTATATAGTTTATCAAAAACACATGATTGATGAAACCAAATGCTTAAAATCTAAACTATTAAAACATGAGTACAAATCTTATTATATAAAGCTTGGTTCTTAAAAGTTATATATAGATAATAACAAAAACGAATTTTGTTAAAAAATAATTAAAATATTATGTAATAGTAATTTTTCATTTTTAAAATCCTAAATAAAGGAAATTTATAAAAAAAATATTTGATAGTAATTTTCCATTTAATATTGTGACATGATTAAAATTCTCATGATTAAAAATTGATATCACTCAAATGTTTAATCCTAAGAAGTAAATTACTCTCTCAAATAAGAAATTCAGTTGTAGAACTTAGAGATTGAATCTACAGGGAACTAAGAAACACAATAGATGTAATCCTAAGTGATTATGCTAGGTTGATTAGGTTTAAAATAGTAATAAATTGCAGTTTGTGAGCGGTAAGTTGCTCAAGAGAATATGTTTTGGTTTAAAACAATAAAAGAAAGTAGTTAGATTCAAGGTTGCTATTCAGATAATTAGGATTATAATGCTACAGATGTTTTAATGAATTGCTTGCAAGATATATGAGAACTTCGATTCTTAGACAGATCTAATAGCAATCGCTAAATAGACTCATCCATTGATCTTATTGCCAGCAATATCGACCGATGTTTTGACAGCGATATCGGACGATATGGGTTGCTGTCGATCGATAACTCTATAGGAGTATTGATCGATATAGCATAAGATCGAATCGAAACTGTGTTCACCAAGATCATAGACCGGCTCTCGCACAACCTTAGAGGATCTAAGCTTATGCCAAATGATTTCAGGACAATGATTAACAAGTTAAATCACATCCATGATCATACTCTAGGTAGCTACTCTAGAGTAAGCATTAGGGTTCATTTGGATAATGAATATCAACAATTTAACATTCCATAGTTGGGGCTAATCCCTCATAACTATTTGAACCCTAAATCTAACAAATAAATCTACTCAGACATAGCTAAGAGATTCATAACAGCTAGGTAATAATAGAAACTCATAGATTAGAAGATTGAACTTTTGGTTCTTGGAACAACAAATCTCTTTGTGTGTTTCTTCTAAATCTAGAATTCTATAACCTTTGAGAATTAAGATGAAAAGAAATACTTTATTGCTAATTATAGAATAATACCAAAAGAACAAAAGAACTTTGAAAAGATTCAAAAGCATACAAAGCACAAAAAAATTGTCAGGGGCATTATTGTAATATTGGGAAAACTTGGGCTTTAAGTCGGCCAAATCGGACTTGTTCTCCACGCATCATATCGATCGAATGGTACATGGTGTACATCGATCGATGGAGTATCTCGACTTCATCTTCAATAGAAACGTCATCAATCGATTACACAGGGTGTGTATCGATCGATATGTATCTTTGTTGTCTGATCTTCATAGTCATCTCGGAAAACTCTCCTTTAAGCTCCAAAAGGACACCTAAATCATCACTTTACTCCAAAATGCTCATGAACCTGAAAACATACATAATAGACTCCAAAACATATATAAAACTTATAAAAACATATCAATACCATGGCTAAAAACGGGTGAAAATCATGGTATATCAACTCCTCCAAACTTAACCTTTTGCTTGACCTCAAGCAAACCATTAGTCTCTTTTGGAAGAAGTTTTAAAAACAGTAGGGACTCAATAAAATCTTAGCTCTAAAATCATCACTTCTACTTTGTTGCAAGCCACATCTCATATTACTAACTACAGAAGTACATTATACGATATTCTAGCTTAGCAACCAAATTCATCTAGCCAATCAACTTAAACAATCCTTTCTGACTATCTCCTCTACTGATTTCATTTATGCATAAAACAAAGGTGTAGGCTTTACCTTGGGAGTATCGATCAAAGAACACTTGGATTCAACTCAAACAAGTTTCAGACATTCTCATCCTGGTTCCTTTTCTCTCTTTATCCCCCTTCTCTGAATCCCAAACTTTCTTTTCTTTTATATCAATCCCAATGAACAACTAATGTTCATCTTATTGATCTTTCAACTTTTATAGTTTTTTGACAAAGAGTAGGCGAATAGTAGGTTAATAGGTAATTTACCTCTCCCTCGCTTTCACAATGTGTGATCATTCCTTTGATTTAGAATAGTGGGATCATGGGTAATGTACCTCTCCCTCTGCCTCTCAGGAAATCATCTCAATCTTTTATTTTCTCTTTATGGGATGCCAAAGGAAGGAGAGAAGGAAACCAAATTTTTTGAGACTTTTACCTTCCAAACTTGCATGAGGATTCCGATCCCTTGTATACCAAGCCCCAAGACAAGCAATAGATGTCAGGTTAGGTTGGAAATCAGCTTTGGTTCTTCCAAACAATCATGAAAAGTGTTGTCATAGGATGATCGGTGATCCACTTTAGCATCTATAATACTTTCTGCAATCAACAATTCTAAGAATGGTGCTAAAGAGTAGTAAGATAAAAAGCAAAAGCTTTTTTTTTTTGAAATTTTTTTGTCCCTTTCTTGACTCAATAAAACCAATTTTTGAAAACTTTTTAAAGAGATCAAAAAGGTAAAGTAGCATCAGTAATTCACTCCCCCCCAGACTTAAATCATACACTGTCCTCATTGTATAACCAGTCGGAGTTAGAGCATAAGAAATAATAAATGTGTAACTGATATCGAAATTATGAACGATATACCTGACCGATGTTCGTATCGATCAATGGTGAGTCACTTCCATCGATCGTCATGGATAGGGTTATGTCGGGCGATGTAGACAGGGTCTCATCGGTCGATAGAGGTAGTGATCGTGTAGCTATATTCTTAAAAACAAATAAAAACGAAAGTAATAAGTGAAGATAAAATAAAACTAAGTAAGAAAATACCTAACAGTGGATTGCCTCCCCCTTAGCCTTTATTTAAAGTCATGTAGCTTGACTATGGAGGTATGGTGGCTAGTGAGGTGGGTTGCAGGTACTTGTTGGGAAACAAGTATCCTCCTTGTCTTGTGATTCTTTAAACCATGAAGTTAAGAAGCTTCTTGTGGCTTTCTTACTTCGGGTCATACTAGCTTGCAAACCATGGACCTCATAGTGGATTCTCTGTAACCAATCCTCAATGCTTGATAAACTGCACTCATGTCATCCAGTGTTGCTGTAGGTGTTCTCTGGATCAGTACTCATCGGCATGGTGTTGAGGTTTTGGGTATTGTGCACAGGCGATAGGGTGGTATCGATCGATCTCGGTGTAGCTCTGTCGATCGATGTGGAAGGATGTCCATCGGTCGATGGGTTTAAAGGCTCGTCGATCGATGCGGATTGTGCAGGTTGGCTCGCGAGCTGGTTCTTGATGTTTTCAGTCTTCTGCTGAATATTCTCCGCTGTGCATTTCAAATCTTGAACGTCACCTTGTACCGGCCACCAAAATTTGTCGAGGGATCTATGTGCGTCCTCTTCACAGAATTGAATAGATCTGTAGATATCTCTTGTGACTTCTTCAAGTTCTTCTCTAGTACAATAGTCTGGTGCGCGATTATCGATCGATGTGCTGGGTATATCATCGATCGATAGCTTTTGTAAGTGACTCTCGATAGGTGCTTCAAAGGTCGTGTCGATCGATGCTGATGGTTCTGCATCGATCGATGGTCGTCTCTGAGATTCAAGTTCTTTGCGAAGTGCATCCACCTCTTCTTGCAGGGCTTTTCTCTCTTTGCGAACGAAGTCATTGCCAGACATATTCCATAGTAGTTCTCCTTGAAGTCTCGATATGGCTTTCTCATGTTCTGAGCTCAATCCTGCTATCTCCCAGTTGTGTTCACTAGTTCTTTCATTCAGCATGTAGGTAACCTCTGCTTGTGTGAAGAGCTTACAAACTGGAACTCCTTTAGTAAACTGTTCAGCATGCTCCGGTAGACAGATACAAGAGCGCTCAAACATTGTGGCTCTATTAAGCAGCTTCTCAATATCTTCTTTGGAAACATGGATGATGTCACCACTGATGCTTCTTGCATAACCACTCTCATCTCTGTAGACACCAAATTCGTCTTTATTTTCCCAGAAGAAACAACGAACTCTGTGTTTGAAAGCTCTCTTCCCAAACTCGCGTTGTATATCGGTCGATGCTTTCTTCCATGTATCGATCGATAGGCGTTTATTTGCTGGATCTGCTGAACTGGAATGAAGGTTTTCTGCACCATCTTGCTTATGAGGTGGTTGGTGCTGATCGTTCTGGTAGATGGGTGGTTGTATGTAGGGACTGATTGGTCCATTGGCCATCTGAAGGATGTCTGCAACGTCTTCTTTGGATATTGGAATGATT